GTAGCAGTTCTTAAAAATGAGTAACATCTTTGTAACCTTTGTATAACCTGAAGATTCGGGATTTTCATTTATTATAAACTTAGACCAATCTCTTTTAGAATTCACTTAAGAAATACTTAACTGTTAATGACTAAATGACCAATAACAAAGCTTATCACTGCTCACAGGCCGACAGAGTGCAGGTCACAGGCTGAGTGTTTCAGCAGCTTCCTCCACAAATTATTATCAGCTCACTCTGTTGCTTTTAGTCTCCTTTTAATGATTTCTAATACATTTTTCTTCTGTAGCGTGAGCTGTTGTCAAATGTTTATGCTTCTTTAGTTGAGTAACTGCAAAATCCTCCACTGGACACTGAGAACACAGCGTGTAAAAGAAAATTCAAGTTTGATTTCTGCAAATTTATTTTATTATCAAATTCTTTCAACTCCTTTTATTTATTACCAGTGTTTTTGTTGTACAGTCAAAAATGGAATGAATGTCGGTGGATAAATTAATCAGATTTGGCATCACGCAGAAAATGACACCAAACTCGTCAGACCTGATTTTTGTCTCAGTCTCAACCTCACCCTGGCCCTGCTGCACCTCTCTCTCTGTCTCTCTCTGTCTTTCACAGCTTCCCTGTGAATTCTCCGACATACGAAACCTTTTCTAAAAACACTGACACCACAGTAACTCACCGAAGTTGACGTCACCGACAAGGGCTTGCTTGTATAAACCGTAGAGCTCGGACAATTCATCTTTCGCAGGTTTTTGTTTCAACTTCGTCGACTCCTCCACTGCTTTGTTGAAAGACTCCTGGTGGGAAGAGAGAAAGATCCTGAAAACATCTTGAAACACAAACATATTTTAAAGTAGAGCAAGTGTTCCACATTGCATAACACAACACATGAAGCCAAGCAGACGGATTCCTGCTCGGCAACTCTCTGATTAACGTCCCTGTGAATCCACTTCCCCTTAAAAATCACTGAATAACACCAATACATTTCTGAAGCAGCATTGTAACACACTTACCATCATGGCTGCAGACACCTTTCTGCGGCTGAGGGCACGTCCCAGGTGTCCGTTAACACTTGTCCAACAAGTCCTGCTGAGAAGCAGGTTTTGTCTGATGGGAGTCGCAGGGGAACATAAAGTCTGAGGAGGGTTATGAGTCGGCAAAGCAAGCAGTGACTCAGATAAGGGGACAGAACTCTGACAGGACGACTCCACCTCTTTCTGCTACTCTGCCATACCTCGAAGTTTCAGGTATAAATACTTGATAATCATACTTGTTACCTGTAGTTAACGCTGCAGGTTTTAACATACATTTACAGGAACTGCTGAACAGATATTTTCTACACTTCAAAAACCTCTTAAGAAACCATTTGCTTTTGTGAACTGTTCAGAAGCTCCTATTTACCCATGTGCAATATCCATGTAGAGGAAAATGTTATTCCTTAGCCACAAGATGGCAGCATCCACGTTTAAAAAGTTCTCAGACAATCAGATGAGTCAAATCTGGAAATAATAAAACGTAGATATGTTAAATCCTGACAAGTGTTATAGAGAAAATATGATGGTGAAAGAAATGTGGGGGGAAAAACATTTATTCTACATTCTACAAATGTCCATTAGAATGTGTACATTCATCTCTTTATGTTAATAGACTGTAGATCAAGAGGTTACTACACATCGACCTCAATTTCAGCACCTGCGACGTTTTAATTTAGATTTTAAAAAACACGTTCGTCAGGAAACACGGGACAGATCAGTAAAAACAGGTTCTAATTACAACACAACAAAATAATCAGCGACATGTTAAATAAAGGGAGTTAATGGAGTTTTCTTGTATCACAGCAGACAACTGGTTCACCTGAGTGATGCACAAAGTTATTGTGTGTTAACATAAAAATATGTTTTTCCCGGTACTGTCAAATATGTACACATATGAATATTGATGGATTTAAATATGAATAATGTAATAGAATAGTTTTGTACAGTCCCTAATATTTTTAAGATTACATGTTTTTGAATTTGTATTGCAAAAAACTCAACAGTGACTTTACACAACATGAGCGGTTTCATTTTGGATTTGGACCAATCAGCACTAAAGGGTTTGTTGATAAAAATGTGTACATCGCAGCATTGAAGTAGGAGCTGAACAAAAACGGCATCAAATCCTTTAAATCAGAAGACGAGACACGAACAGTCTCGGAGAGAAGAGATATTAATTCAAAGTTTCAGTGATAAATTCTTCAGCAGGTTCGTTACAAGTTCAATAGTGACTGATCTGAATAAATTAGGACAGAAAGTCAAACTCTTCTTTAGTCTCTGGGTTGAAACTCCAGGGAACTGAGAAATGTGAAAGTGAACACTGATTATTTGAAAGCATAGTGCAATAAAGCCGACCACTCGGGTCAAACGTCTCAGCAGAACTACCGGATCATTTGAGAGACAAAACTATAGAGACGAGATGATGAGGAAATGTGATGATAAATCATTAATCGTCCGTCTCAGAGTGGAGTTCATATTCATGAGTGTGAACAGAGAGCTCCACTCCTCCACCTTCTTGTCTGGATCTTTACGCTCTTCACACATTACTGACGTCCTCCAGCCCGTTGCTGTGGCCGTCCGTCAGGGTGAAGCGGATGTGCTGGCTCCTCTCCCAGCCGCGGCGGATCTTCCGGAGCCGAAGGGCCACGCAGGGCAGGAGGAGCGCCAGGCGGCCCAGCAGCGCCACCATCGGGAGGATCAGGACCAGCACGAAGGTGGGGGGCAGGTGGAAGCGGTACTGGTCCGGAGCGAAGGCGCGATCCCAGCCGAAGAGGAGCGTGTGGATGGTGGCCATGGACAAGGCGCAGTAACCTAGTGTGGACTGCAGGGGGAGACAGAAGGGGTTGTTTTTGATGCAGAAATGTAACAAGACAACGTCCTCAGATTAGTTGTTGTTCAAAACTAATCTGCTGCACAATGAAGTCGTTTCTGTAAAGTAGAACTCGTCATATGATGATATTATCTATCATTACATATAATTTGATGTAATGTGGGGACCACAACTACTGTGACTCTAACAACTACTCATGAATGTAGGAAATAAAAAGTGTTAATCCTGGCTTCCTTTTGCCTCCATTACTGCCATATATTGAAAATGCATCCTGCTCTGGTGAAGTAATATTCCAAAGAATTTCAACATTACAAGTATTGCACACACAAAACTAATGCAATGATAAAATATTTTAAATCAATATTTACCTACCAATATATGCACAGTATTCTATACAGAACTTTTGTTTCCATGATTTTTTGGGGGGGGTTATTCTCGCCCCCATCAGGAGCGTTAACGTAGTAAAACATGCAGTTTTGAAGTGGACGTTGTTCCACCTTCAGGGACTAAAGTTGAGCTTTATTTGTAGTTGGTAAATACTGAAAGAGACTGATGCTCAGACACACACGAGCACATCTCACACACTCACGCACACACACACACTCATGCACTGCTGGGCAGAAAGCTGCCTTTCATCACGTATGGTCTCGGCACATGACTAATCTGACTGTCAGCGGATTACAGAGAGATGAAAGAAGAAAAAAAACTGCTCAGATGGACCTCGAGACCGGGAAATATGGAGGGCAAGATGAAGGAAGTCAAGGAGGGGGAGGTAGGAGAGGGGAGGGGAGGGGAGGAAGTGAATGAGTCACAGCACTGCTGATGGTTCTGTCACAGCCCAGGTTTAATTCTGGGGAAGCTGCAGGACGACATGGAGTCATGGTGTGTGAATGTGTGTGTGACTGCAGGACCATGTGAGCACAGAGGAAACAACTGTCCACACATCAGCGTGACACCTGCCTGTCTACATGTCAAGCTTTGTGTGTGTGTGTCTTTTACCCAGAAATCCATTTGGCAGCCTGTATTAACCTGACATGTCCATGTGTGTGTCTGTCTGTGTGCACCTGTATGAAGCTGAACTCCCTCCAGTTGACAGCGTTGGCCACAGAGGGCAGCGAGGTGACGGCGAGCAAAGAGAGCAGCCCGAGAGCCATGATGCCCACCGAGAGGTACAGCTCCATCCTCCACACCTCCTCGTCCACCCACGAGTCCTCCACCCCCTGCTTCACCTGGACCATTAACAACAAAGACGTCAGGAGCAGCAGGTTTTGACTGAAACAATAACAAACTCATGAAAGTAGAACAATAGTAAACTGATCTCGAACAAGTGGACACAATTAATTATGTTTTCATTCAAAGTGAAAATAAACTGGTCACTGCTTGTTTGCATGAGAAGAAGATGCCAAACAAAAGGCCCCTGAATAGAAATAATACATAAATCTATATTACAGGACAATCACATGACTTAGTGATGCAGTCATCTCACTCTTGTTTCTTCCTCTCACCTGTTTAAAAGCGGCATTGAGCAGTTTGTAGCGGGCCGACTTTCTCATGGGGAGACACAGGCTGTAGACGGCATGCAGAACTGCGCACAGGAAGCTGCACAGTCCAAACTGCTTCCTCCTGGTTAGCCAGCGGTCCAGCCAGTTGGGGAAGCGATTGTACTTGGTGCCCCAGTACAACTGGAGGTAAGCAGCACACAGACCAGGCAGGTAGACCAGCGCTAACATCACCAAGGCCACGGAGGGAAGAGTGACATTGACAGTCTCGATGGGCATTTTGTAGAAAACACTCTTTCCTTCTTTGATGAAGGGATGCAGGATGTCACGGAGGAAGTTGTACAGGTAGAAAACGAAGAACAGCGACAGAGTACAGATGACGGGGATGTGCCAGGAGGGAAATAGGTAGAAGGGGAGGTTTTCGATTTCCAGAGAAGAGGAGAGGAAGCCCATATCCACAGGGACAAAGCCCATTCTGCGACACAGCTGCATCACTGAGTTCTTGGCATTAGGATTGTCACTGCAGAGGAAAATCTGAGGAGGAAAGTTGACCACAAAAAAGTTACTAGAATTCTGTCTCCCCTCAAGTTTCACTGAACCTCATTGAATCTAAACCACGAGGTTCTGTTGGGTCCTACCTGCCTGCTTCCATCCCGAGGGCCCACCTGGAGAGTCCAGGCCGATATGGTGTTGAACCCTTTCACTACAAAACTTTCTGGAAACAGATCTGCCAGCTGGTTGGCATTTGAAGGCCCATCTCGGTTGAGGTGCAAACCATTGCTGACGTCCACCAGCGTCTTCCCCGCTAATGCCGGCTTTAACTGCAGCAGCGTGGAGTGATGCTCCGGAAACACAGCCATAAAAATCAGGTCTGCCTGAGTGGCTGCCTCCATCTGAGACGTCACCTGGAAGATAAAGACAGAAACGTTCAGGAGAGGAGAAGATGCATGTTAGAGGCATGTTGTCACAATCACAGTTACTGGGTTCTGACATTAATCAGCTAAAAATGCTATTTTACAAGACCATGTTACGAAAGTGCTTTAGAAAACATGCAGCTCTCAGACTATTAAATTAATAATATACTTCTTCACATTTTCATTCAAATGGCCAGGCATGTATTTATTTTTAAATTGTGCTGTTTGCAATTGAGGAGTTGATCTTGGCAGATACTTACACACCGACAATACTAACCCTAACCTTCAAAATGAGGGACTGACTATTTGACACTGTTCCCATACCACAACAATTATTATCCCTTGTGGGAAAAGTCTGAGTAAAATATAATAATCACCCTGAGCAGAGAAACAAAAACAGTAATTAAATGGTAAGTGTGTCAATGTCACTGTGTGTGTGTTTGTGTAACCTCAGCGTCCTCTGGGAACAGAGCCAAAGAGCGTTTGGGGTTTCGACTCCCCACCACCACGTGGTAGCCGGAGGCCACCAGCCTCCTGGCCAGCGAACGGGAGAAGTCGCCCGTGCCCAAGATGCCAATCACCAGAGCGCCGGGTTCAGGCATGAGGGCTTCGAGATTTCTGGAGGCGCCTCCTTCACCTCTGCCTCGGACTAAAGGCCTCGCCATGTCATCAGGCATGATGATGCACTGACAAGGCTGCAGAGAGAAGAGCGTGGTTTCACTTTATTTACATTCAGATTGTCAACAGCCAAGAGAACCACAGAACCGAGAAATAAAAGCTTGTGGGTGTTACTGACATTTATTTGTCATTTACTTACAGAAACGGATGCTTCAGTCTAGACAGCAGCAGCTTCTTTCATCCAGCATGAGACCGAGGATAAAAGTAAAAGTATAAAATGCTGCAGAAAGACATTTTGGTTAAGTTTAGTCATTTATTTTAATTGGCTTGTGTCTGATCCTTATAACAGAACTAGGATTCCCATTATGTCAATTATGGAGTGTCCTTAATCCATTACTCTGCACTAATAATACAAAGCAGTCAGTCCAATAACAGTATGGAATAATAAAGTATATTTAACATCTTCATTTTTCCTTTTATTAACTTGAATTCACCCATATGGGCTGTGCGGTTCTAACATCAGCACTGGAAATAGTCAAATGGGATTTTTATGAATATGCTGCTTTACTCATCATTCACTTTAAAGCCGAATTTACAGCAACCCCCCCGGGATCCAGAAACCGTTTCAAGTTAGGCTGCATTACTTATTAAAACTAAGCGACAAGCGATCAAATGTTAAAAAGCCATAATTCCACATTCAGTTTCGCTTCGCGTGGTAAAAAGTGGCGTCTTGTCCTTGTCCTCACGCGCGTAAACTCGGGTCAAGTTCCTCCGTCACGCGCAGCGCGACACCAGCAGACACACAGCAGCTCTAGCACTAATTCAAACCACAACCGTTCTTCTTCAGCTCCTGCAACAACTTAAAGAGTCGCTTCAACTTGTTTACGCTCAGTTACTCACCGCGGGCTTCTCTGTCTGCGCTGCTTCCTGATAACATGACGCAACGGCCAAAGCCCCGCCCTGAACACGCCCCCACGTGTGTGTGAAAGATAAACCAAGAGAGAGCCCCCCCCCCTTCACCACTTCACTTTACTGCAAGATTTAACATGAACGTTAACTTTAAACCATGTCATCATTGATCTCTGGTGGACTTAAAGACAGAAATAGTGTTTTCTTAATTATCAGAATAGTTGAGGCTCAAATCAAACAAAGTCTGTTTGGTTTGGTTTGATTAAGGTTTGAGACATTTCAAGATACTCGCACATCTGTTGACACCGACTTGTAACCAGAGCTTTTCAAGTGAGTGCACTGTGCTTCCGTATAAGAATTGCTAATGCAGGTGCACAAGAGGTCAACACAGCCCGGTGTGATGTATTAAAATAAAACCATTTATGACATTTATCAAAACTTTAGGCCAAGAGGAAGAGTGTGTTTTGTACAGAAGCTTTTTGCATTCACTTCACAACAACTTGTTCTGTTTTTCTGATTTAACGACTTGATGCAGAAAAACAGAGCAGATTTTCTTTTTCTCAAGTGAATGTAATACGTTAACGTAATGCTGCAATGTTTCTTTGTTTAGTAAAACATATTCCACTTGGCACTGGTTACACTGTGTTGACGTCAATAAGGACAAAAGTGGACCAAGACTTGACCCCTGTGGGACACCACAATTATTTTCGGCCAACGTTCATGATCCACCTCAGAATTTGCTGAAAGAAATAAGTGGATCATATTAACTTTTAGTCTCGCACCACCATCAGGTCTAAATTTATATTCAATGCTAATATGTATGTTTCCATGCGAACACACTAAGCTAAGATGGTGAACCACTGCGTCGGAGCTGGATTTCATTTGTTTCACATATTACTGTAGAAGTGGTGTATCTGATGAACTGGCCTTGGGATCACAATAAAAAAGGAAAAGTGAAATTGTGTTAAAAAGATCACTGACTGCAGGTTACACCCTGTCAACATGACTTCATCATGTCTGCCTTTGCCAATTGCTAAAGGTTGAACCTCCCCCGGCTCGCGGCGCTGCATCAGTGTCACCATGCACAAACATATACAGTATACACAACCTCACACACACACACACACACAGACACACGCACACCAAATACATGCTCTCTCTTTCACCCTCTCTCTGCTACATTTGTCCTTGACAGCCATATCTGATTTAGCATTTTAGCATTCATATGTATTGATTACTGATGAGTCCCTGTGCGGTAACCCATTCATCTTACAAGACCAATCACATGATCCACTGGGGACAGATTTCAGCTTATTACTCGGCCGGTGAAAACGCCAAACAAACACATTATAGGGTAGAGATGTTTTTAGATCAACCCACCAATCAAAGTGATTGACAAACACGATATCACTTGTCCAACATGCAACAATCCAGTTAATGAGGGCAACACGCGTGTCAGTGGGTTGGAGAAATATCATGGCAGAGAAGAAAAGGCAAGGTCATAAAGAGTTAGCTGGGGAGGACAGGTACAGCCATATTTACATCTGACAGGGCTTCACTGTCAAAATGCCACATGGAGGAACACGTTTGTTTCTCCGCTCTTTCAAGGGCAGAGGTGTCTTTAATGTCCCCCATCACGGGATTAGGGTCACATGTTGAGACAGGAGCTGATGTTGCAAGTTCTCGAGGACTTGCTGTCTAGATGTTGTTCTGCACAGATTTACAGTTACAGCCCGTGACATTTTAAATCATTTAATATGTTGAGATCAGACTGATTCTCATCTTTCTCTGGTGACCTTGGGCAGATGTTTGTTTGGTGGGACCTCACTAATGTTGATCCATCCCCTCGATCGCCACTGTGCAGACTCTGACTCCAAATGCACAAAAGTAAATTGTTCGTATCTGGAATATTTGAAATGGAAATATTGTGTTTATTACCCGAGCACATTCTTTTGACAGCAGTCTACAAGATCACTGTAGAACTTAAAAAGCAGCTTTTGAAATATGATGCATTGTTACTGGTTAATCTTCTTGACAGTTGCAACATTAAAATGCTGCTCACACCTTTTTACATCAATATCGAGTGGCACTCAATAGTACATAGCACTCAATACAGCACATTAGCCGACCAAGGCCAAACAGTCCCACATATGATTGACGAGTTCTTATTGTAGCAATATAAACGAAAAGAGTAAGCGGTCTGATAACCTATATTATTTATTTGTTATAGTTAAAGAAAGTGAAAAAGAACCCATCCTGTAATCGTCTCTTAATCCACAGACTGTGGTGGAAATCAGTTTATTAGTTTCTGAGTAGTTCTGATAAAAAATAAATGAACATGAAATCAAATGTAGTTTAATTTCAGAAGAATATTCAGAATTATAGCTGTAATACTTCTGTTGTGTTTTTATCTATTTAAATATGTTTTTATCAAGTGCCAGTAGTTTCCTCTCTGCTTTTAAAGGGCCTTTAAAAGCAGAGAGGAAACCGTCTTCACGTTTTATGTCTCGGAGAAAAGTCTGATATCAGCTAATGATGGACTCATTTGTTTCTCTCACCAAACGGTCGTGTGTCACACGGCGATGCGCTAACGTGCAGCGTTACTAGAAACATTGCAGCGCCTCAGGGCAGCTCCAGTGCATAATGTGCACAGTGTGTCGTGCATGGCTCATCATAGCCTGAAGATGCAGTTCACTGTACTAATCCTGAGTAAAGGTCATAGCTGCAGTCATGAGAGTCGGGAGTGTAATGTGCTCTGTGCCTTCCTGCATACTTATTTTGGGTTGTTTTGTTTTGCAGAGGATTGTTGCATTGTTCATTTCAGAGAGCCGCAGATGAAAAAAGACGACATCTCGACATCTTTACGCCCCTGTCCTCCATTTCATTTCTGACCCAGCTCTCGTGACTCCTCGTCTCACCTTCAGACACGAGCAGCAGCAGCCCGGCCGCAGTCGTGTTCTGGGGCGTTAAAGCTGCGCTGAGCACAAGTTGAAATTGCTTAGAGAGGAGGGGATGGTGGTGTTGGTGTGGGGCTTGTACCCGCGGGGCTTCGGCTAAGCCTGGTCTCCGGCCTCTGAAGATTTCTCCACGGCGCCTTGAGCCCTAAAGCCTCTGTTGTAGATGTGGCGCCTCTGCTCCAATTCCAGGTGCTTAGCCCCCCACACACAGTTTTGAAGTATTTTAGGCCCTTTGGGGAATTTTGTTTGAGCTTGAGGACAAAATCAATAGCTGTTTTTATTTTCAATGAGCAGAGGCCGTGTTTATTGAGTGTCTCAACAGCTTTGGAAATAACCAATGAAAGGCATTAATATTAGTCTTATTCAGCTGATGTGCCCATAAACCCCGCACGGTTACAAGTGCACAGTGGCCTCACTGGGGAAAAAAAGAGGCTAAAGAGGCGTTTAAGACAAATCTGTATGCAACACAGTAATGATTGCTCGCACACAGAAAGAATTTTAATTGGCTGGAATCTAAATTCAAGGCCTCGGGCTCCCCCCACCTCGTGAAACAAGACATCAAATATGTCCCTGCAGCCAAGGAGCTCAGGGCTGGAGGTGTCGACAGCCCTCTGACATCTCTGGTCCATTTCCGGTATATATTATCTGCTTCTCCCCCCTGGTCCCCTGCTCTCGCTGCCCCATTACTCTGTGTGTGTTTGCGTGCAGTGACCAAAGCACTTGGTCATTTGATGTCAGCGAAAGTGATCCTGCCCTCAGCCATTTGGGCTCTGACTTTGAAAAGACCCTGCATGGGTTTTTAGTCAAATGTTTTCCTGTAGCTGCACAAGTTCAAACTATGTGAAATCTGACTTACACCGGGATTCATATAAAGGAAGTTGATCATTTTTGGTGATTTAAAAATCGGAAGCCCATTGGATTCAGTTCCAGAGATTTATCAGGACATTCATCTTTGACAATCTCCTAAATCAAAATCCAGCGTTTATGCAAATCGATGCATGTGGGACGCCCCCAACAGATAAGTGAAGAAAAAACGTCTTTAACGCTGATTTATAAAATGTGAAATGGGTTAGAGTTGGACATTAATCCAAAAGTGAGGAATTTATGGATCTGTGTCTGAAACTGTTAACGTCCGGAGGGGGAATGGATGAATAAAATGTGAGGTAATTCTGACCATTAATGTATTCAGCCCCCAAGAACATATACATGTCTCCATACCACTGAGATTCATGAAAATAAATATGCAACCATGTGGCATTATATGCTTATGTATATATGCATGGATTTATATTTCCAGCTGTGAGACTGACGTGTTACGTGTTTATACTGAGTGCTTGTTTTTTTAATTTGCTGAATCATATTAAACCACTTGGTGCCATGTTGAATAAACATTATTGTGCAGAGATGGGCAGGC